TGTTAAAACCAACTTTATGGTTAACCTTTATTGATGTAACTTACATTAGCTAGAGTTGAAACAAGACTGACTGTTAATAGAACAAAACTTGGTTAAAAAGACTCTGTTCACAATTGAAGTGGCTGATGTGCCCTAAATAAATAATACCACGAACTGTGCTACAAAGAAAATGACTTAAAGTTAATGGGTTCTATTGAATAACTCCATCAGGATTACTGAATTCTGAGGAACTGAGTAAATTGCAATCCCTACTGAGAACCTTCTCAGAAGGGCCTTTCCTGAAACTATTGAGATTGTCTGACAGAGTTCGCGGAAGGTGCTAAGATGACATGACGTTACATCTACTCTTTACGTGACTAACAAATGATTCATCCCTAAATACTTAATTCCTAGTACAAAATATGAATATAAAATTACAATAACTCAACAGTTGTGTTATGGCACTTTTATAATTGATCACATTAAATAAAGCTCGATAAAAAATAAGCCGATATCGCATAATTCGAATGTCAAATACAGCCCTGCAAGCGGGTTGAACCAATAAAAACTAATAAAATACCGCCGCCATAACTATTCCACCACTGAGTGGGCGTTAAAAAAATTCGTATTTGCGTAGACGCTCTGGTCAGACCGCGCAACCTAAGCACGATGAACTTTAGAAGATGCTAAGGAAGATTACTTCAAATATATCATAATGATACTATAATCTGGGAATAAATTAAAAAAATCCTCTCAGATCACTTTCTGCAAATGCAAAAAATGTATGTGGCTTTCCTATCTTTTGTTGGAAGCAAGGCACGTAGTTTAGAGTAAGTATGCTGCCAAATCTGTTCCAATTTTTATGGGCAGTATTGATTGATGTTTTGAATAATAATAATAATAATAATAATAATAATAATAATAATAAACTCCTTCTTCACAGAAACACACCACATTTTCACAACCCACTCGTATTCAACCGCAACGCAAAAACCTTAACAGAACTACAGGCTCACAACATACTAAAATATCTCCACCAAAAACCCAAGCAACTTCACAAATACAACCTCAAGAACAAAGAAACATCATAAATACAAGTAACGCAACATGCACTACAAAGACAGTTCCACCCAATAAAGTTACACGCCCTAGCACAATTAAAAAACACATAACTCCTTNCCTACATAACTTCACTAGACACAGACACAGACAATAATCGTTACTTGATTTTAATCCGTGCGATTAGTTAACCAGGCTAGACCTGAGTTCTCACAAGAAACACCGACCATAATAATAATTTAATTAATTTAATAAATTCCATGGACGAGAATGAAACTTATAAGTATCTTGGTTTTCAGCAAAATACACATATTAAACATACGAGTATAAAACAAACACTTATCACACAATACCTACAAAGAGTACGCAGTATACTTAAAACAAAAATTACACGGTAGAAATACAATCAAAGCTATTAACACTTATGCCATACCAGTGCTTACATACTCTTTCGGGATTATACGTTGGACAAATACAGATTTAGAACAAATATAGAGAAACACACGTACACTATTAACAAAACACCATATACATCACCCTCACTCCTCCACTATACGACTTTACCTTCCTCGTTCGGAAGGAGGTAGAGGACTTACAGATATAAAACTATTACACCAAACACAAATACACAATTTACAACAATACTTTTATAACAAATCAGATACTTCAGTCTTACACAAAACAGTAACATATGCAGACAAATCTTACACACCACTTAACCTACACGAAACTATTGTACTCCCACCCACATCCAAACTTACATACATCACAAATAACATACAGACATGGAACCAAAAGCCTTTACATGGACGATTTCCACAAGAGGTTGGCCAGGATTGTGTTGACTCTATAGCAACGCACAGTTGGTTGTCTGAATGTGATGTCTTCCCGGAGACTGAGGGTTTCATGTTAGCAATACAAGACCAGGTCATTAACACACGCAACTATAAAAAAACACATACATAAAGATAAAACAGTGACAAATGATTCTTGTCGACTTTGTTCACAAACATCAGAAACAATCCAACATATAATATCGGCATGCACACGACTTGCACAAACTGAATACAAACATCGACACGATCAGGTAGCTAAAATCATACATCAAAAATTAGCACTTAAACACAATCTCATAACAGATACGACCCCATACTACAAATACACGCCACAGATCATACTCGAAAACAACACACACAAATTATATTGGGACAGGACACTACTCACAGACAAAACTATCCACAATAATAGACCAGACATTACACTTATACATAAAACACAAAAATCCATTTGTATTATAGACATTGCCATCCCCAACACTAACAACTTAACTAAAACACATGCAGAAAAACACCGCAAATACACCGATATAGCTATCGAGCTTAAGACGCAATGGAGAATGAAATTTACTGTTATAGTTCCCATTATTCTTAGTGCTACTGGAGTTATACCAAAGACAATACACCACAATTTACAACTATTAGGTTTAGACAAAAACACATACAAACATTTACAAAAAGCAGTCATTATCAACACATGCCATATTGTTCGTAAATTTCTAAACATAACACAAGATACTACATACAGAAATGATCCACAACGTATACATGTAAACAACAGTACTCGCTCACAACACGGTACACAACATACTGTAATATCTCCACCTCTAACCCAAACAAACACACAAATACAACTTACCGAACAAACAAGTACAACAAATGATACAACATATACTACAATCAGAGATTCACCTCTGAAGCAAACCACATTATCACCACCCATTAGTATTCAACCCAGACGCAAAAGCCTAAACAGAACTTTAGACTCACAACATGACACACAACATACTGTAATATTTCCAAACTTAACTCCACCAACCACACAAACACAACTTCCTGAACAAACAAACGCAATAAATACAAGTAACGCAACACGCACTACAAAGACGCCCTCACCCACACGGCCTAGCACAGCTAAAAAACACAATACTCTTTCTTCTCAGAAACACACCACGTTATCACAAACACAACCCACTTGTACTCAACCCAAACGCAACAACCTTAACAGCACTACAGGCTCACAAAATACTGTAATGTCTCCACCAATAACCCATGCAACAACAGAAATACAACTTCAAGAACAAAGAAACGCCATAAATACAAGTAACGCAACATGCACTACAAAGACAGGTCCATCCAATAAAGTTACACGCCCTAGCACATTTAAAAAAACACAAAACTCCTTCTTCACAGAAACACACCACATTTTCACAACCCACTCGTATTCAACCGAAACGCAAAAACCTTAACAGAACTACAGGCTCACAACATACTAAAATATCTCCACCAAAAACCCAAGCAATTTCACAAATACAACCTCAAGAACAAAGAAACATCATAAATACAAGTAACGCAACATGCACTACAAAGACAGGTCCACCCAATAAAGTTACACGCCCTAGCACAATTAAAAAACACATAACTCCTTCTTCACCGAATCACACCACATTATCACAACCCACTCGTATTCAACCGCAACGCAAAAACCTTAACAGGACTACAGGCTCACAACATACTAAAATATCTCCACCAAAAACCCAAGCAACTTCACAAATACAACCTCAAGAACAAAGAAACATCATAAACACAAGTAACGCAACATGCACTACAAAGACAGGTCCACCCAATAAAGTTACACGCCCTAGCACAGTTAAAAAACACAATACTCCTTCTTCTCAGAAACAACCCACTCGTATACAACCGAAACGCAAAAACCTTAACAACACCACAGGCTCACAAAATACTGCAATATCTCCACCAAAAACCCAAGCAACCTCACAAACACGACCTCAGGAACAAAGAAACACCATAAATACAATTAAAAAACACAAAACTCCTTCTTCACAGAAACACACCACGTTATCACAACCCACTCGTATTCAACCCAAACGCAAAGCCAAAGAAACACTTACACAATAAACTCCATTTAATAAAATTACAGGAATTATTATAATGATTTTTTGTTTGTTTTGTTTTCCTCTTTCCTGATAGCGTTGGCTATTGTGCCCATCAATAGGTATGTTGGTAAGTACGAATTACATACTATCCCTAGATGTCCAATGTACGTGTGATTTTTTTTTTTTTTAAGGACCCTACATAACTTCAGACACAGACACAGACACTAATCGTTACTTGATTTTTAATCCGTGCGATTAGTTAACCAGGCTAGACCTGAGTTCTCACAAGAAACACCGACCATAATAATAATAATACTCTTTATTCCGTCGACTTGTTACAGTATGGAATGCGTCTAACATCTATTATAAAACATACAATACAGAAAATTGCTATTTAACATATAAGTGTATATAACAGTACTTGTACACAGATCACAAACTTATATCACAGAACTGAAATATTCATTGAGGGAATAATAACATTTGATCAATAATACTTCTTTAAGCACAGTCTTTAAATGTCTAGTAGATGAAGCATTAGTAATATGATAGGGGAGATGATTGTAAATTTTTAAAGGCATTACATAGCAGCTATCGGCTGTGTAACTTAGTCTGTGAGGAGGAATATGAACTTTATGGGCAGCTCTTATTGGATACTCATTCAATTTTCCCCTTAGTTTAATCTTATCGCTTAATACTTTTTTGTGTACATATAGTGCACAATTCATTATGTATATTGATGTCACTGTTAGAATTTTCAATTGCCGGAACAAATCCTTACAATGTTTCGTATGGGGCGCAAAAGTCATTGTACGTAGTATTCGCTTCTGGCAAACTAAAATTTTGGACATCCAATTGGTATTACCCCAGCATACAATACCATAACTCAATATCGAATGCACACTTCCAAAATAGTATGAGCGCATAGTTTCATTATTGACTAATTTTCTAATTCTAAACAATTGTGTCTAGAGATACCAATTCTACTTTGGCTTTGGAGCTTCCGCATGCGCAATCAGTTGCTGTGTCCGTTTTACTGCAGGTACGGTTATTTGTAAGTTGTTTAACCGAGTAAACGTTAAAAATTTGATTGAGCGGTTGCGTGTACACTACCTGTTTTCATTGTAAACTATTGTTGGAAATGGTTGCGGTTTGTGAAATATGCAAAGTCACATTTAGCAAACAAAGTAATTTAAGGGCGCATGTAAAAAAGTTCCATCCTGGTAAGTAGTCTTGCTTTATTTTACTTTAGCTGACAGTAGTATAGGTACGTTAGTTTACATTTTGACTTTCCATTCCATATTAGACGTCTATTTAATATTTATCTGTCTGAAACTTATTTTCAGATCAATTAACTAAATTAGCACCATACAAAACGTACAAATCAGCCGCAGTTTGCAATGGATGCGAGAAAAGTTTTGTGAAGTACTCAAATTTGGTACAACATGTAAAGCGATTCCATCCAGGTATTTTATGGCTAATTTTTTTTCTTTAACCTACTACCTTTGTGATTATATAAAAATAACTGAATTAACTGTACTTCTAACTATTACAGATAGAGAAGCAGAGTTGACGAAAGCCAAGAAGTATACACATGAGTGCGATAAGTGTAAAAAACATTTTAGTCATTTGAAAAATTTAAACAGTCACAACAAAGGTCATCACTCAGAAAGTAGTTCTAGCAGACGAAAATCTTTAAAATGCAGTATTTGCGGGTTCTCAGACTATTTCAGACACCAGTTATATCAACATTTTCAAAATATTCATGATATATCCATTAGCACCAAATCCATGGAATTTGCTAACATGGACGCCTTCACATTTTGGAAAGTACAAGAAGAAAAAGCAACTTGTTCTCTTTTTATAAGTGAACATGGGTGGTACAGTACTGAGAAAAATAAAATTTTAAAATATGTTTGTCATCGATCTGGATATTATAAACGAAAAGGAAAGGGAATAAGGCATATAAAAACACAAGGGACAAAAAAAATAGATGGGTTTTGTCCTGCTGGAATAAAACTCACCGTATGTCATGTATCAGGAACTTGCTTTGTAGAATACACCAGCACGCATGCAGGACACACATCAGATAATCTAGGGCACTTGACTTTAACAACAAAGGAAAGAGAGAATTTTGCTCTGAAAATAGCATCAAAAATTCCATTCCAGGTAATTTTGGATGAAGTTAGAGATTCTATTTGCAATTCAGAACTGGATCGAACTCATCTTTTAACGAAAAAGGATTTGCATAATATACAGCAAACTTTTAATTTGAACAATGAAGCTATAAGACATACAAATGATGCCGTCAGCATAGAATCGTGGGTCAAAGAGGTCGAGAGTAGTGGATGTGTGTTGTTTTATAAACCTCAGGATATTTCCTTATTGGAACATCAAAATTTGAAAAAAGAAGATTTCATTTTGATTATTATGAATATGGGCCAACTAGAAATACTTGAAAAGTTTGCTGATGATTGCATATGCTTAGATGGCACTCATGGCCTCAATCCTTATGACTTTCAGCTGCACACACTCCTAGTTCTGGATGATTTACGAGAAGGGTTCCCTTGCGCATTTTTGTTTAGCAATCGATCAGATGTGGAGATTTTGGTTTTATTTTTTTCATGTATTAAAGAGAAAATGAAGAGACAAATAAAACCACGAGTTTTTATGTCAGACATGGAAAAAACATTCTATAATGCATGGATACGTGTTATGAAACCTGCAGATTTTAGGTATTTAAGGTTTACATTACAGTGTATAATTATAAACATTTATTTCTTTTTGTTTTACAGAATTTACTGCACATGGCATGTAGACCGCTCTTGGCGTAAGAATCTAAACAAAATTCATTCCAAAGAAAAACAGGTAAGTACCTAACTATGTATAAGTATAAATAATTTTGTTATTCATCTCAGGTTATGGTCTACAAACAACTTAGGACAATTCTGCAAGAACTAGACCAAAATGCGTTCACCCAAATGATAGACAATTTTTTAAGAGCGTTAGTAAATGATGCAGACACATGCGAATTTGGTCAGTACTTCAAAAGGTATTATACCGAAAATGTCGAAGCTTGGGCATATTGCCATCGCTTGCATAGCGGACTAAACACAAATATGCATATCGAGCGGATGCACGAGACTATTAAATATATTTATTTAAATGGAAAGGTAGTCAAGAGGCTTGATAAAGCTATAAATGCCCTGATGAAGTTCGTGCGAGACAAATTATTTGAAAGACTGATTACTTTAAATAAAGGCAAAATTTCCAGTAAACTTAAGGATTTACGAGCTAGGCACAAAACGAGTGAAGGCATGGATCTAAAGCTGGTAATGGTGACAGAGGAGGGGTGGGAGGTACCTTCAGCTTTATGTCAAGATTTGTATAAAGTGGAAGCGAGAAAAATTAACTGTACTTGCAAATTGGTGTGTCAACAATGCCATGCATGCATTCACCAATATTCCTGCTCGTGCATAGATTCCTCTGTTAAGTGGAATATGTGCAAACATGTACACCTAGTCTGCAGATTCCTTAATGACAGAAAAGAGCTCGAAGTCGGAAATATTACACAAGGGCCAGGTAAATTAGCACACATCTAAGACATCTTGTGATATTGAAATGTTTATAGTTCCAAATGCCAGTATTCTTCAAATTGATGACGGTATTTCCAGTAAAGTAGAGGAAGAGCAGAAAATACTTGCCGCTATTTCGCAAAATACATCAATTTCAGAAGAAAATCTCTATGACGAAAAAGAGAAATTAAAAATGGAGGTAATGGAACTAATCCATGATATCGACAAAATTTCAACAAGAGAGGAAATATCTGCTCTGAAGAAACTAGTGGGCCCAATCAAGCCAACATTACATGCAATACGGTTGCAACAAAGTCGTGATCTTCAACATTCAATGGGAGCAAGCTCCAAAGTACACCACAACAAAAACATTAAACAGCAGAGACGGCTTTTTAAAACGAAGAAAAAGACCAAGAAGGAAACTGTGGGTTTATCAAATCCAGGTACAGAAGAGATCAATCAAATAGCAATAAATCTGTTACAACTCAGTTGAACTTAACGTTAAATTACAATAAAGTTTTCATTTTCATTGCTTACACTCTTCTTCTGTTGCTTGTTCTGATTTGTAGGATAGGAGTTTTATTCATTTCTAGTTATTACCACACACTCGCACACTGTCAGCTCATTGACCGGCCGGATATCGTATTCGTGCAAAGCAAATACCTACAGCATGATTTTTTTTTCAGTTAAACGCGATTTCGGTTAGATAATACAGTTTCGGTTCGGTAGGTTCGGTTTTTACTTCATTTCCAGTCAGTTGAAATCACTGAGGAGCTTGTGGAAAGCGAGACGATTAATTCAAACCAGGGAAGTCTTCATTGTTTGTTTAAAATCGTCTTATATATTTCTAACCTCGCCAGATTGGGACTGGACAGAATTTGAATGTTCAGCCTTGGAACGATGTAATAATCAATAAAATAAATTCCAATACTACAAATTAACCGTATATAACAATTGAAATGACCGCGGAAGCTCATTGCGCATGCGGAAGCTCGAAAGCCAAAGTAGAATTGGTATCTCTAGACACGAGTATTCTAAACAGGGCAAAATTAGAAGTCGTTAATTTTTTTATAAGCGACTGAACATGTGTATGCCAATTTAGATTGCTGTCTAGATGTAAACCTAAGAATTTTACAACGCTATTTTGTTGTATGGATTTTGTATGTGATCGAATTAGAATATTAAAATTCTGCTCCCGATGTGAAAAAAACAGCATGTCTGTTTTGCAGATATTCAATGAAAGGCCATTGTTACGACAATATGCATTCATTAGCTCTACTGACTGAGTGCCCTTGATGCTTAAGGAGAGTATGTATGAGAATGAATGCACCAAAGGGCAGAAGATTTAAATACCTTTGACATTTCCTTCATATATGCCAGCATTATCGATGCATGTACGACTCTTTTCGTAAGATGCTTGCTATTCATCCACACCAACAACTTTTCGTATTCCTTATAATAGGTTTTACTAAATTTGGATTTTGCAGGTACCAACTTTTTCTGCTTCTGCAACAACCCACTGAATGGACGGTGTATTATCTTCTTTAACCGAAGTCATTTCCATGGCAATCACAAGAATAATCAGCCCACTTGTATGGCAGGTATAATAAAAAAAAATACTATAAGAAACGCGCGTATTGATTGAGAGAAATTTGAAATTTTAACCACTTCTGGTAAAAGCAAGCATATCCCATATTGTAAAAATCAGATGTGCGCCTGCGTAGATTCCGCAATGCTAACTTCTTTATTTATGGAGACATTTTTTTGAAATTATAGCCATAGATTCTTCCAGTAAAAAAAATGTAGTGCAAATACCTATGTTGTTTTGGAAAGTACGGGTCACTGCATGGAAAATGCGCTGAAGTTACTTACCTTAAGTATGAACCTTTTTACTTTACTTGTTTAAATTCCTGCACACGCCCCTGCTTTAATTCCGTATCATGCGCATTTTCGTTTTAATCTCTTGAATTTCGTCATTCATTCTCATTACAAGTTTTGAATTGAAGCACAGACCAAGGCTTCTTCCACTGTCACATAATTTTTTCAGGTACTCTATCAGAAAATAGTATATTAAGTAACAAAGGATTAAAAAGAGTTTTTGTTCCTGTGAGAATGGATATTCTTAAGGGAACAAAAACTAGTTTAATCCAGTGTTGCTTATACTATTTTTCCAATACCGACCGATTTAAATCCATTTTTCCATTAATTGTTTACAAAAAAAACAAAAATGAGGGAATAAAATTACCTATTAATGCACAAAAATTAGGGGTTAAATTCAATATAACAATGTAGGTATTGGAAAAATAACATTTTTGATTGACTGTCGCCAAATGTCTTATTTTTAAAATTTACAATGGCACCCCACTAAAGAAATTGTAGCACTAAATAACCCAACATACCAGTGGTACAAGCAAAACCACACATTACATAAGAAAATTTCAGAGGAAAGACAAGGCGAAAACGGCAATTTGTAGAAAAACGCTCTTTTTCGAACCCAAGGTTAACGTTAACTTTTAATGTGACTAGTGCCGATGGATGCACTACAGGATTTGTGGATAGAACAGTAGCAGCTCCGAAAATTTGTTTTACATTTTTTTCCATGTCCACGGTCAGTGAAATTTTGCCGTTTCTGCGATTAAGGTACCCCGAAGGCGGTTTGTGAGGTAGCCAACTGTATAAGCACGAGACCGGACACTGTCGCCATCTTGTGCGATGACAGCAGAAAGCCAATGGACGCCTTCTTAAAGAAAAAATTGTCGCTCGACCGTTCATCTCTGTCAACATCCCAGGGGGTTTTCTCTGGTAGTCTTCTAGGCCGACTCTAATTTAAATAAACTGTGCTGGCACTTTTAAATTGGCCGCAAAAGTTTCCCGTGACATAGGAATCTATTGGATCCCTAAATCATTCACAATTTGTAATGGACAGAAGATGTAAATGGTACAACTTGGTTTAACAGCTCTCGAACACACTGGTGCTGCTCTAACATTACTACAAAGACAATAATATTACTAATTCTGTTGCTTGTATTCCGGAGGACTTTGTAGTACAACTTTGTCTGTCTCGTCCCGTAGTACATACAATGAAATGCAAACCCTTCTGTTGTCTAGACACAACTTATTCCAAGTGATAAGGTTATGAAACAGATTCAACTGGATTAACATTTGTAGTTTAGAACTTGGTACAATGCGATTCAATGAGCAGGTTTTTTCTTTTAGTTTCCGATATCTCTTAACTCTATTATCCAAGATGATAACATAAGTAATCAGCTTAAATGAGAATAGACAATGAATATTTTTACTTTATACTCATCTTCAAAAGCGCAGGCTATTACAAACCGCTTGGAGGAATTTAGAAAGTATCTTTAGTCGTAAAAAAGTAGAGACGAACTCGTATATCAAATTAAGTTTCATCATTTTCTTTTTGGTGCCATTCTATTAATTCCCTTTCACTTGAACTCTGTTTGCTTATGTCAGAAGTTTATTTCGTTGTAATCCTTCAAAAACCGCTTAGAAAGTTCAATTTGTTGTATAGAAAGTTACACTTCTTTTTCTGCCGCTCCAATTTCAATACACAATTTCCCGTTTCCTATTATGTAAAATTACAAGAGGCCGAAAGCCGGCGTCATAATGGAGTTGAATATTAAATCTTTGTTCTCACCTTTGGACTTCTCACGATGATTTACGAGATGAAACTTTTAAAATATATGGAGCAAGCGGGCGGACGCTTTAGAAAACATTCGTACTTGACGCCCGAGAGAAAAACGATCGCAATGTTTCGAAAAACATATAAAACTTAAAACGTAGCAAATTTAAATATACATAATTCTCCGGCGAGTTAGGCGTCTTCCAAACAAATCTTTCACTTACAACTCATAAATCCCGTTTCAGATTGCGTCCAAAGTTATTTCAGCCCCTTAGGTTGTGGCATCGCTCATCGCTACTTATCGCTAGAAGAGCCCGAAATGCAATTTTATGTTAAACGTTCTACCGGGAAATTACACGTAATTCTCACACAACATGCGCGCCCCAGTAGGTATAAATAAAGTGCGCTCACGATGGGGTAGAATTGTGTTAAAAGTTAATTTGATTATATTGTAATTTGCAACTTTAATCTGACCCTCTTGACCCTAAATGGCTGTAAGTTATGGCCTAGTCGTTAGTTACTAAATTTCGTGGTTTCCAACAAGAGTGGACTAATTCAACGAACAATTTTACATTTAATTATACTTTCGTAGTAAATTGAAGTCATTCAAAGAGTGAAAACTCGATTAAATGTTACCCTTAATTTATAAATGCGAGCGAGTATCGACCGTTCTTTGTGACGCCTATTTCAATAAGAAACGTCAAATTTAATGGTTCATAAAATTGTTTCCCAAAATATGTGTTTGAAAAATGAGCGTATTCCCACCGCACTCTTATACTTTTTCTTATTCAGTTATTTCAATTGCAGTAAGTGTGTCCGTTAGCTATAAGCAAGCACACAATATTTATTCATGCAGACTGAATGAAAGGCCTCATTAGCTTCGTATTACCATTTTAGGTAATCATAGATAAAAACCATTTGCATCAGACTTGCCACCAGTTAGCGCCATCACTTTGAAAGACAGCGCCACTTCATTAATCAGGTGGATCAGTTCCCTATTATCACCATTTTTGATCTTGAAGTAAATTGTAAGCGATTTGTGATATTCTAACCTAGCACCACCTTTAGTTTTCTAGCGTCATTCCAGAGTTGCTTATAAAGCCCTTGATGCGGAGGATGCTATGTGCAATACCAACACCAGCTAGTTGCATAGCCGTTGCGATGGGTATCCGTTAATACCAAAGTGTACTCCATGTTCTACTACGGATCCCAAACATGGACACTCACTAAGGAACACAATGGAACGACAAATGTTACACGTCAATCTGTCAGATAAAAAAGAAACGAATGAATGAGAAATAAAACAAAACTAAGAGACATCAGAGAAGAGGTGGGAAAACTAAGATCGAAATTCGCGGTCCATAACTTCAGACAACCAAATGACCGATGGAATAAGGTTGTTTTTTAAACTGGAGACCCTGGAAATACAAATGAAGCAGAGGAAAACCACAGATCAGATGGGTTGATGACATGAAAAACCCGCTGGATCTGGATAGGTGAATATCGCTACAAACAGGGATAGTAGCAAAAATGTACGACAACGGCCAGAGAAAAGACACGACAAAGCCACTTTAGAGATTACCTGCACTATGGCAGCTCGGATATTTCATCGCAGAACGTCCGATCTTAAATACCATGTGTTAGATGAGTTCCATATAAGCAATAACAATCATAGGTTCGTGAACTCGTTTTAGCACTTCATAAGAGAACAGTACTCCATCGACAGGATTGTTATAATGCTCGTTACGCGAAAGATACACAAAAAAATTACAAATTGGTTTCGGACTGCGATATAGGTAAAAGAAACATAGGTAATTAATTTAAAACATTGCATAACTAAAAAATAAACGTATTAACCAAATAAGGAATCCTATAAAATAACTTTA